ATAAGAGACAGTGTTTTGTTTTTTATTGGATATATATGTTTTTATTTGTTTTTTTATATATGTTTTTTATTGGATATATATATATATACATATATATATATATATATATATATATATATATATTTGCCTATGCAGAACCACCACTGATTTTTATTACTATATATATAATATATATAATATATAATATAATATATATATTATATATATATATGATTTTAAACCTAGAAGCAACAAGCTACATAATGCAATGAATAATTAATTATAAACGTCAGATAGTAGGAGTTATAGAGGATATGCATGTCTATTGACATTATTTTTTGAACATAATCTATTTTTTGTGGTATCAAAGGTTAATCAAAAATATTGGTAATATCATAATAAAACGTTTCAAAATATGTCAACATCGCCTTAGTTTTTATCAACACCTACAGTAGTTGTGCCCATCTAAGGATTAATATATAATATATCACCTGTTTGTCATCGCCTTCCCAGCAACTATATTTGATATGGAACAACGTGCTACATCATTTCACGATAAATACATCAAATTTGTTTTGGTGACTCTTGATACCCTCATAGATAGTCTACTCAAAACACCCTTGCAGTGGCGGATCTAGGATTTAGCAATGGGTGGGGGTGAATAATGGGAGCTGAGAAGGACCGAGTGGGGGTAGTTTTGAGAGGGGCGTTCCCTCCCATTTGAGATTTTTTTTGGAATTAGTAGACTGCTAGACGATCCTAGATGGCATCTGAAAAGAAGTACTTAAAATATGGAAAGTGTATCCTATATGAAATACACGATATACCAAATTTAAATCAGTTTCACCATGGAGCTAAAATACTTACCTATAAATCGATTTTATTTGATTTTTTATCTGTTATATTGACGTTATATACCTTTTTTGTCAATATGATTTTCCCTGGATTAGGTATAGACCTAATATTAGTCTACAACTGAAAAAAGGGAAATAGGCCTAGGAATTTTTATGAGGGCCCCTTGATATTAGCTCTTCAGCAATGGAAAGTTATCGGTCACCCTTGTTAAATATAGTTAATAAATTTTAAAAAATTTATAAATTCCAAGCTTTGTTTTCGTCTGCTGTATTTAAATTTATCTAGTATTTTTCGATTAGGCCTACAATTGCAATAAGCTATGTAAATCTATATGTAAATTTGTAGGCCTATGTATTAAGTTATATGTAAAGTGCATTAATAAAATAAAATACGTATGGATTCGCTATATTTATACAAAGAAATGTTAAATTAAGGGGATCCCCATAACATTTCTCCCTTAATATTTGTTTGTCCCTTAATTTAACGTTTCTTCCTGTAATAAATGAAGCGAATCCATGCGTATTTTAATAATGAACTTTACATATAACCTAATATATACAACTTTATATATAAATTTACATATAGCTTAATTTTAAAATGTATCTTGTATTAATGATATGCAAAAATGTCCACAAAAAGTTATTTGAACAAAAAACTGCGAAACTGTATTGTCACGTGACTGTGGAAAGTGTCAGGTGATCGGTGGCAGGTGACAGCTCTGTTTAATGTGGGTTGTGATTTTTTTTTATAGACAACAAACGAAACTGCAAGTCATAAATACTTTTTACTGTTAATCTTCTTGTCAAATTACTTCACTTTGGAAACCAAAGATGTCAAAGTTTGCTACTCTACTAGCTGTTTTCTTCTTAATTAGCGTAATTTCGGCTAAATCATGCAATTTACCACCGAGTGAATGGTGTTCAACAACTGAGATTTCTGTAGCTTGTCAGGTAGGTAAATGATAAAAGAATCGCTTTAAACCTAGGCCTAATGAATGGAATTTTAGGGGTAGGCCTACTAACATATAGCAGCTCCATATCTTCTTGCTACCGCAAGGCCTATGGAAGCTGATAGTAAAAAATGGGGAATACTGTAGGCCTAGCACTATGTCGGCCTAGTAGAGCCTCTCCTACCATAGTATATAGCTAGGCCTAACCTGGCCCTGCTCCTGACGCCTCGCTAGGCAAATCAATGCATTATACTGTAACCCTCCTTGGTAGGGCCTGGCCGGGCCTGGAGTAATACATTATGAGTTTACGTACTACTAAGAAAGAATGTTCTATTGTATGGGTGGTATGCTTAAATAGGCCTAGGCAATCATTCAATCAGTAGAAGGAATTCTTGGTTTTAGATGACATACATAGGCTAGGCCTAACTAGGCATAGAGTGGGGATAGCCACCGCCTTTTTCATTTCACTACTGCTAGGACTGTAGTCCAATTATACTGTTGTTGAGCCCTAATACAAACCCTGACCTTTGCAACTGTGCCTTATCAAAAGCAAACCTATTTTGTGAGCGTGATTGTTATGATTGTGATCAAGGTCTGTAATTCATAATAAATGAAGTTGACATAGAGCCCAATCACACTTGACAGTTTGTCGGCTTCCCCAGACCATAGCTGAACTCAACAGGTACTGGTTCAGCCTTTCAACAAACTGGCCTAGGCCCATTACTTGATTTAGGCCAAATAATACAATATACTTGTTAAGCGTCACTGCCCGCCCCTGATTTTCTATCCGCCCCCTCTTTTTTTTTTTTTTTTTTTTTTTTTTGAAAAAAATGACGAAAATTAACTAAAAAATGCCGATAATTGATGGAAAAGGATCGTTTTATTCAACTTGTGTGCAGGGAACAAGCTGTGAAGTGCGCCACCAATATCAACACATGTGTGGCATCGGTGCATATTATATAAATGATCCTAAATGTGTTTCTCAATGTTTAAAAAATATGTGCTGACTGTTTGTAGACTTTTTTTATGTACAAACCAAAACGGTAACATAAGCTGAAACCGAAGACCGTTCGGAGATATAAATCATAAATCAAAAAAAAAGAGAAAAAAAAAAACGCCTCCGCCCCTGATAATTTTTGAGGGGGTGACGCTTAACAAGTATATTTTTTTATTTGACCTTATTCTGATTTTTTTTTTAAGTTTGTGTCTGCCACCATATATATATATATGTACGTTTGTTTGTATATGTATGTGTTTGTATATATATATATATATATGTACTGTATGTGTGTATGTATGTGTATGTATGTATATGTATGTATATGCATATGTGTGTATATATATATATATATTTATTTTGTGTTTATATTTTTTGATTTCTATATATTTTTAACTGGTGGCCACAGCTTAAAGTTTTATTCTAAACTTATTTTGGCCTCCTTCCACACACTTATTCTGTAATGTACTATTATTCTTAGTTGGTTTTACTATTAAGCTTTTGTTATGTATGTTAATATGTTTATGTGTGTGGAGAAATAAATTAAACAAACAAACAAACAAATTATGTTTTATTAGTGCATTTATTTGAGTAGTAATTCAGTTATTCATTACATTGTATTTAAGTTGAACACACCACCCTTGAGTGCCCCCGATCTAAAGGCGTATGTTTACAAAGTAAATAAATAAATATAGACCTTTAAAAACCTTAAAATGCATTAGGATTGTTATTGTCTGCAAGCATTAAAACTGTATTTGCCCTTCCAAAAAACAAAACAAAAAATCATAAATCCATTTTGAAACAAACATTTAATATTTATAGATAATTTTACAGTAAAAAAATGATAGAAACACTTCCAGTCACTGTAAGTGAATTCTTCTATACTATTATTATCAGGGTACACATTTTGAACTTTTCTCATTCTCTATTCAATGCAATTAAATTAAAATTTACAAGAAAGTAATTTTACCTGCTGTTGAGGATCTTGAAATTAGTGCACTTAAAATAAATGTAAGCTTCACCAATTCAAAATTTTTATTTTATTGGAAAATTATTTTTTCTTACTACAAATGGGCAATTCCATAAATTCGGACGTACATTTCAGACACTTTGTGAATCTATATTTTCATAATGAAGCTTGCAATTTATTTTTTTTAAAGTTTGCATTACATCTACTGGTTAGTACTATCAAGCCTACAATTTTTATTTTTTAACTCATATGCGTTACGGAGATACGGGTCAAAATGACCCCGTGACGGACGTAATCAGAGAAAGTGACTTTTCCTACGTCACTATACTTTTTTTTACTCTGTGATGTGTGGGACATTTAAAAAAAAATATTTCCCTGTTGTTTTCCACTAATGTGCGGGCTTTCAAGTAGAATAAAAATTGAATTGAATTTTTTTCATTTTCTCTATGAAAACACTATAAAATTACTGTGACGGACGTACAATTTTATCGTGACGGACGTACTTGTCTGAATTGTGACGGACGTACACATCTAAAAATACAAAAAAATCTGCAATCTAAATTATTTTATTTATTAATTAATATACTGGTATGCTTATATGATATAAAAGTACCAAAATATACTGGATTTTAAACTTTTTTTTAAATAATGAAAGTAAAATACAATGAATTAAATAATTTAGGTAATTTTGTGTCAAATAATCCTGAGTTGACCTCAATACCCTAGTAGTCAAACCATGTTTTGTATGCATTTGAGGTAAAGAGAATATTGACTTCATAAATTGGTTCAGGGTGGCCCTAGAATCATTTTGGCTTGGTAACACGTTTTTTTTAATGTGGCAAAATGTCAAAGGTGAGGGTCAAAAGTCATAGTAATAGGGCCATTATATCTTCGCAAACACATGTGGTAGAGAGTTAAGTTTGGTGCCAAGTTGTTCAAAACATTTATATTTCTATTTACCATAATAGAATATTTTGTTAAAAAATGACCGGACATGCCATTTCTGACCTTTGACTCATCTCCGAGTCATATACACAGGTTCTCATATTTCCGTAACCACTGGTGGTAGGGAGTTAATTGTGGTATCAATTTGTTCAGAACATTTATGTAAATAGATTATAAAGGAGTTGGATCTAAATTTGTAACCAGGAAAAATGATTATTTGGTTCCCAAAATGCACTTTGTTATTGTTAATTAATGCAGACTGTTAAACTAGACTACATACTATACTGTACTAGAT